CGTCTTCTTCTTCTTCTNTCTNTCTTCTTCTTCTTCTTAGGGCATTCATTTCAAAGCTGATAACTAGCTGGACCGGCTGAAAAGAAACTGCCGTGCGTCGGTTATTAGTAGAACCTCTGCTTTTTTGCCACGGGCGCAGTCTACAAAGTCCCCAATCCTCCACTTGGTCAGCATTTCTCCCCTCAGATGCAAGCCTGCTATGAATGGAAAATCATAAAAGAAAGAAGCATGTCGCGCAGATTTACCTTGCACGCATTTGACGAGAGAGAGATGCCAGGCTTTGCGTCGACCCCAATGCTATTACTGCCACTGGCTCATCAGGTCAGCCAGGGTCCTGCGAGGAGGCACGGGAGACAATTGACATGCATATGCATTCCCTTCCCCAGAGCCCAAGTCTTGACCTGCCAAAAAAGGACCATCTCGTATTCTGGAATCCTGGACAGGATCCATGCCAACTGTGGGCCATTAGGCGTTGATTGGAGAGATGCCGTGCAAAAGAACCAGTTGTTATAGCCCCCTCGTATGTTCCAAATGAAAATGATCAGCACCAAGGACTCGGGTTGATGCATCTCTTGCATGGCATTCATGCGCTCCGTTAATACTTGTCATCTCTTCTCCGCCTTTGGGGTTTCTTTCTTTCTTTTTCTTTTTTTTTTTTCGTTCAGGCCATGGCATACCAATGCTTGAACCCCTCCCCTCTTTTTGAAAACTTGACTAGGTCACCAGGTTGACGAGCCGAGCCTCCCCTCCCCCCCACCCCCTTCGGAACCCGCTCTCCTGGACCCGGGGAAGGGCAGCCGGCGCTAAATTAGGCCAAATGCAAGCCACAAGCGCCCGCCGACCGATCTTTTGCGGTGAGGAAAGGGAACGAGAGACTGATCAGTGTTGAGAACTACATTGACAATCCAAATACCTTTGTGTACAAGTAAAAAGCAGCAAGACTTGCAATGGCAGTGCTGCTCGCTGTAAGGCGGCTGATGGAAGATGGTGCTGTTGACATCGATGGCGGGTGTCTGAATGCAACGTCCAGGCAAAAGCTTAACGCTTAATGAGGGGTTGCCATCAGCGCAACGCAGATGACTGACGAGGGCTGTTTGTCATGCAAAGCCTGCAATGACAAGCATCACAAAGTCACCGCTCATCCAATCGAGCCTTTTACCGAGCCATCATGTAGCCCAACCCAGGTCATATTCATTTCTCTGCCGCCATGCGAACTCCGAAATGGCATCGTGCCTTACTAGTTGGGCGCAAAGACAATGTCCCAGAGCTGACGCGCAGCAAGCCCCTCTCAGCCCGTGTCTCTGGGTGAAAAAAATCTGCAACCTGCATTGCCAAAAACGTCTTGATTCACACCTGGCAAAAAGACCCAAAAGGCGGAGTGTTCTCTTCTTTCCAGACACACGGGTCAGGGTGGACAAGGGTGCACCATGATGGGCTGGGGGATTGTGGACTGGCTGGCCGCGATTGGTAAATAGGAAATGAGAAACAGCCAGTCACATTGGCCATTGAGCATCGTATCAGAGCTTTGGGCCGCCCCCTGGCCAGCCCAGGTCGCACAGGTAGGGCTCAAAGAGAGGAGAGGCGGGGGCGGGAGGACGAGTCGGTCGACAGCGGACCGCGCCAGCACAGCAACTGCCGTTGCTTTTTTTCGCCTGAGCCGCGCTCAAACCGTTGGGGAATAAGAGAAAGAAATAGATGGGCGGGAATCTGATACATGGTAAAGCCACCTTACAGGAGCAAAATACT